AACCCAACATTTGTCTCTCGCCTACACACACACACACACACACACACACACGAACACATACATATAACTTTTCCATTGTTTTTTTTTTTGGTCTTTTGAGACAGAGTCTCCCTGTAGCCCCAGCTTTCCTAGAACTCACTATAGACCAGTCTGGCCTTGAACTCACAGAGATCCGCCTGCCTCTGCCACCCGAGTGCTGGGATTAAGGGCGGGCACCACCACGTCTGGCTCATTTTCAGAGTTTTACAAAAGTCTGTCAGGTAATGCATGAAGCAGTGCCCCCAACCACCCCAGTCTCCCCCACTCCCTCTCCCTCCTGAAGGGCTCCAACCATCCTCAGAGCTTTAGTAACAGCTCTTGAAATGTCTGCTCACTCCACAAAGTCACCCGTTGAAAGTGAGCAATTAAATGGTTATTGGTATGTTACATCATTAATTTTTTATTGTAATAAAACCTATATCATAAAACTGTCCACCTTAACCATCATTTAAATATGTGATTCATCAGCACTAAGTGCCTTGGCACGGTGGCTGTCCCCCACCACCACCCTCTACAGCAAGTACTGTGTCATTGTCCCAAACAGAAGAAGCTCTGCACACACACACGGGTCGTTTAAAGCTCCCTGACCTCCAGCCCTTCTTGGCACTGTTCATCCCTGTCTCTGATTTTGACACTTCCAGGGTCTCCTCTAAGAGGAAACATGCCTTGTCCTTCCGTATCTGGCTTGTGTCATTTAGCATTGTGTTGTCAAGGTTCCCGGACATCTGGCTTCAAGTGGGATTAGTGTCTGCACTGAATGCTCCTGTGAATGCCCTGCTCCCTGGGAACTGTTCTAAAGGCAGCTTTCTGTCCCCCCAGTGACCCCAGGGTTGGATGGATAGATTCCAACAGGGAGCCTAGGACCTGGGAGATTGAAGTCCCACTCTTGGACTCTGCCAAGCCTGATGACTTGAGTTCAGTTCCCAAGACCCATGAAGTCGAAGGAGAGAACCAACTCCTAGAAATTGTCCTCTGACCCCCCCCCACACAATGGCACATGCACACACGTGTGTACATATACACAATCAATCAGCCAATGTTTAAAAAAAAAAGATGGTATGTCTGGTGTGGTGGCACACACCCTTAATTCCAGAACTTGGGAGGGAGAGACAAGTAGATCTCTGTGAGTTCAAGGCCAGTGTGGTCTACATAGTGAGTTCCAGGTCAGCCAGAGTTACATAGTGAGACCTTGTCTCAAAATTAATTAAAATAAATAATTTTAAAAGCTAATAATGAAGATGATGATGAAAATGGCAGTGACCATGTTGAAGACAGAGATGAAGATGATGGTCAAGATGCCAGTGATGTAGGTGGTGCTGATAATGATGAGGTGCTGGTGAAAATGATGAGGAGGAGGAGGGTCATGAAGATGGACGTGTGATGCCTGTGACTGCTGAGCACTTGACATAGTTAAGTGCTTTGCACAAATAACCTCACTGAGGCCTCTCAACAGTGCTCTGGGGCAGCTCCATGGTTGTCCTTACCATACAGATGAGGGGCTGAAATCAGAGAGACACAGTGACTTGCCTGGGGCCACACAGCCTGTGGGTGGTACTTGGACCTGGCTTTGGGTTAGCCTGATCCAGGGACCTTCGGGTTAGCCTGATCTGGAGACCCTGCTTAGCTCCCCTGGAGCCAGTGGAGCGCTAGCTTTGGCTCACCTGTGGGTGCTGCTGACCGGGACTCCATGCCTACTCCTTTCACACACAGGACGACGCTGTGAAGGCTGTGAAGATGGCTCTTTTGGGGACCCACTAGGACTCTCCGGAGCTCCCCAGCCCTGCCACAGGTGCCAGTGCAGTGGGAACATAGACCCCAATGCCGTGGGCAACTGTGACCCCCACTCTGGCCACTGCCTACGCTGCCTGTACAATACAACAGGGGCCCACTGCGAGCACTGTCAGGAGGGTTTCTATGGGAGTGCCTTGGCAGCGAGGCCTGCAGACAAATGCATGCGTGAGTACCCACTACCCGGACCCATGGGGGTAAGGCCTGGGAGCCACTGTCCTCAATCCTTGCTCAGGACCCAGACCTGAGAAAGTCACAGAGCCAGCTGGCCACCCTGCCAGGCTGGGCAGCCTTAGGAAGCCTCCTGCCTTCTCTGTTTCCTTCTGTCAAGGTTTGTCCTTCAAGCTCCCTTCAGCTCTGTCATTTCATAAGCTCTGGGCTCATAATTTTCCCTCTGCATTGATAATTCTGTGCCTTTCTTACATAAGGGTGACACAGGGATGGTGAGGCTGTGGCTTCCCCTCCATCTGTCAACCCCCTCCCTCCCTGGGTTGCCTGTGCCCATCAGAGGGCCACCTCCTGCATATGCCTGAACAAGGCTGCTGGAAGTCCTGTGTGAGAGCAGCAGTGGCCCCCACCCAGTGGACCCCAGAACCCTCTCCCACATGGCACCGTCCACACCTTGCTGCCCTCTTGCTGTGTGGAGCCTCTTTCAGGAAACCCTGCTCTGGCATCAAGGGAGATGTTACCCTGTAGTGACTTGGAAGCAGGGGTGTATGACTCCAGACAGGCATGCAGGGCTCTGCCTGTGACCCCCAATCTCATCTCTGGCCCTCTCTCTAGCCTGCAGATTTGCACTGTTCTGGGGACATAGAAAATGGGCTGCAACTTGAACTTGGCCTTGAGGCCTTTTCCAGGAGGGTCTCAGAAATCTGTCCTGAATGACAGTCATCTCTGGGACTCCCTCAGCTTCTTAGCCTCTGCTGTACCCCAAAAGTTTAAGCAGATAATCTGCATCACTACCAACACCCCTTCTCCACCTGCAGCTTGCAGCTGTGACCGGGAAGGCTCAGTCAGTGAGCAGACGCCATGCAACCCAGTGACAGGCCAGTGTGCCTGCCTGCCTCACGTCACTGGGAGGGACTGCGGTCACTGCAACCTTGGCTTCTATGACCTTCAGCCTGGGAGGGGCTGCCAGAGGTACGCAGGTGTATTAGCTACTTTTCTGTTGCTGTGTTAAAATACCATGATCAGGGCAGCTCATAGAAGGAAGAATTTATTGGGCTTACAGTTCTAGAGGGGGGATAGGCATCCATCATGGCTGGGAGGCATGACAGCAGAGGCCACCAGGCAGAAAGCAAACTCTCACATCTTCAAACCCAGGAAGTAAAACCGGAAATGGGGAAAGGCTACGAACTCTGAAATCCAGTCCCCCCACCCCACCCCAGTGACGTGCTTCCTCCAGCAAGGCCACACCTCCTAAACCTTCCAAAACAGTGCCACCAACTGGCCAAGTGTTCAAATACTTGGAATTTATGGGGGAACACTTACTGAAACCAGCATGGGGTACGGCTGTGGATGCCCTGGGTGTTTGCCAGGAGGGATGAAGTTACCAGGGAGTCTTGGGGAAGGGCCCCTTTCCAAGTACACTGTGCCCTTCACCAAAGGTCACAAAGCCACAGTGTCCTGGTGTCAGACTCATGGCCCAGCCAGCCCAGGAAGCAAAGAGCCGCCCTAAGGGAAGATGAGGTGGTCAGGTGTCTGTTTGGTCTGATTCTTATCTCAGTGACACCCATCACAGGGTGACCTTTTTGGCTGCAGCAGCACCTGAGACATCTTCTAGGAGACTCCAGGGAAAGGCCAAAGGAGGCAAATAGACTTCTTCCTCGCTTCTCAGAGCCCTTAGAATATGAATTGCACTTGACTTACCAGCCAGTCTATCCCCATGGTCTTTTGTCAGCTGTGTCTTATGCGACTTGAACTTCCTCAGGCATAGCTATTGCCATCAAGGGTAGGGTTTGGGGTGTCCCACAGCTGGTCTCATGCCTGCTCCTTGTTACAGTTGCGAATGTCACCCACTTGGCTCCCTGGAGAACCAGTGCCACCCCAAGACTGGGCAATGCCCCTGCCGACCCGGCGTCACTGGCCGGGCCTGTGACAGGTGCCAGCTGGGCTTCTTTGGTTTCTCTGTCAAAGGCTGCAAGGGTGAGCAAGCTGGGTCCTAGTGGGCTGTAGGAGGGCAGGGCTGAGGTCTCTTTCAGGAGATGGGTGGCAGGAAGCAGATGGGGTGGAAAGACAATGGGTAGATGCAGGATCAGTTGCCTAAGCATGGTGCGGCAACACGAAGTGCATTTGTTTGAGGAACAGTACCCTAGTGGCACCTCAGATGCCACCCTAAACTCTTGTGTGTCTGTGGCCATAATGTCACCCATGGGCCTCAGTTTCCTTTTATGCAGATGGTGCATCAGCTGTTCCAGGACCCTGGAGACATGGAAATAAGTGAGGCTAGAGGCTCCATTGCCCATGCCAACCCCTGATCAGAGTCTCTGGGGTGGAGCCCAGGACTCTGCGTTTGAGGACACTCAGGGGGTTGTGGGAGTTGCCAGGTGGGGTATAAGAATTAGGAGGTGGAAGTCAAGTTGGGGATCACCATCAGACCCCCAATGCTAGCTGCCATCCTTCAGACTGTAGGTGCTCCCCACTGGGTGCTGCCTCAGCTCAGTGCCATGAGAACAGTACCTGTGTGTGCCGGCCCGGCTTCGTGGGCTACAAGTGTGACCGCTGCCAGGACAATTTCTACCTTGTGGAGAATGGCACACGCTGCCAGGAGTGTCCCACTTGCTACGCCCTGGTGAAGGAGGAGGTAAGCCACCCAGCCCAGGCCATGATGCCAGACCCTTCCTGTTCATTCCCTGCCCCCAGGGAGCACCATCTCTTTTCTCCTCTCACAGCCCCCAGTCCTTGGCCACCTTCTCCCTTTCCAATCCTCCCATCCCTCTCTTGGTCCTCCTGTTCTGGATGAGTCAGAGGTGGCTCTTGTCACACCCCGTCCTGGCCTCTCAGGGCCAAGGTCTCACACAGCTCAGTGGGGATGAGACCACCTTGGTATGGTCCTCAGTGCTGTCCTGGGCAGGGAGGTGGGTAGTGCTGGAGTCAGGAGTTGGAGGCTGAGGGAACTCACTGGGATCCCCTTCCTAGCCCCATTAGTTATCCCATCCAGGCAGATCATGTCTTAGTAAGCCTCTGTGCCCTACTCCAAACAGCTATTTCTAGCCTGCAGACCTTCTAGAGCCAGTGGGGCTCTGGAAAGGTATGGTGCTGTAGAGGGAAAGGCATGACCTGAGCACCAACTACCAGCTCAAAGGGTTAAATCAACCCCCACTTCAGCCTTCCCTCTCCAAGAAATTTTCCTTCCAAATGAGTTTAGGTCTGTCTTACCGTGGAGTAAGTGCAGAAAATCAAGTTCTTTCAGAGCATTTGGGGCTTTGGACCTGAGAGGTTGGGCCCTGGCCCTCTGCTTAGTGTGGTTCTGAAGTGAACTGAGCTAAGGCAAGCACTCATCCTGATATATGCACCGTAGATGCAGCTGCTGTGCACATGGGCAAAAGTGCAGGGTAAACGCACAGCACACATGGGCAGTAGTGCCCACAGCTCCTGCATTGTGTGCCAAGCCCTGGGGACACAATGAATAGGATAGACAGAAATGTGCAGGAGGGTCATGTGTTTGCCATGAGTGAGGGCCTGAGTTCAATTCCCAGAAAACTTGTTTAAAAAAAAAAAAAACCTGCTCACGGTGGTAGCCAAAGGTTAGGAAGGTGGAGACAACCAGATCCCCAAGGCTTGCTGGCCGGTCTAGCTTACTTGGCGAACTCCAAGTCAGTGAGACACACTGTGGTGAACAAAGGTTGGAGAAGCACCCAAGGCTGTCCTCTGGCTTCCACACACATGTGCACACACACACACTCCTGCCCCCCCACATAAACACATGTGCACATGCACACAGAAACCATCATGGCTGACAAAGTGTCAGCAGGTGCCAGGGCATGAGAAGGGAACAGACGAAGCAGGTGCAGTGACTGGGCAGGAAGGGTTCTCAGGGTTGGGGTACCCTTACCGCTGAGGCCCAGGTAGGATTGGAGGAGGGAACACATGGGAAGTTGGGTCAGACAGAAACCAAAGGCAATACCCAGGACTTCTGGGCATTACACAGCTTTCCCTCCCAACTGTTTCCTGCAGGCAGCCAAACTGAAGGCCAGGCTGACACTGATGGAGGGGTGGCTGCAGGGGTCTGACTGTGGCAGCCCCTGGGGACCACTAGATATTCTTCAGGGAGAATCCCCGAGGGGGGACATCTACCAAGGTCACCACCTACTGCAAGGTACAGGGGAGGGTTGAGTGGGAGGTGAGGGGTGGCCAGTGGAGTCCTCTGTGCAGCCTATAGTCTGGGCTCCTTGGATGCTTTGAGCTCTCAAGATAGTCCTGTGGCCCCACAGTTCTGTCCTTCCATGTCCCTAGCCCACTTGTAACTGTTTTAACACGGTCTTTGTTCCCCACCCCCTGCCCTGCCTTGTCTATAAGCTTAGGGTAAACAAGGGCTGGATTCATTCACTTCACCACACACTCTGCAAGTCCAGGGTGCTGTTCCAGGTGCTGAGCAGGTGATGTCCCTGGGTCTTGATTCTTGGCCCTTTTACTTCTTGCCATGTCTTTAGCCAGAGCTTGGCACATAGCAAATAAATTAGTAACTAAGGAAAAAACTGTCACTAAAGCCAGGTGGAATGTGGCCCTGAGCCATGGAAAATTTAGAGAGCGCTGAAAGTGAGCTGATTGCTTCCTACAGCTCTGTGTTTGTGAGTAGCTGTGGTCTAGCAGCTGTGAGCAGGACTAACCATCAAGAGAGAGCCCCTGCATGAGCCTTATTGAGAATTCTAGCACTGATGAGTCAGGGTCAGCTGTCATCTAGGATTCTGGAATTGCTTATGGCTGAGAAGGCCTGGGTCCTGTTCAGTCCCTTGTGTGTCGCTGATTGGCTGTGGGTCCTGATTTGGTCCCACACTGGACTTCCTCTACTTCTCTGGGCCTCAGCCTTTGCTACTGCAAAATGGCCAGGCTTCTCTTTTGGTCTATGGGGATGGGGTGGGGGTGGCACTGGGATTCGAACCCAGGCCTCACACTTGCTAAGCAAGTGCTCCCCACTGAGTTACATTCCCACCACTGCTGGTTCTGCTGACTTCCCATAGGGGCCCCGGAAGCCTTCCTAGAGCAGATGCTGGGCCTCGAGGGTGCCGTGAAGGCTGCCCAGAAGCAGCTTCAAGTACTGAGTGGGAGCGTCCGCTGCACCCAGCCCGGAGCCCAGAAGACCTGCGTCCAGCTGGCCGAGCTGGGGGTGGTGCTGCGGTCCTCAGAGGAGGAGATCCTACATGCAACCTCAGCTCTCTCATCTCTGGTACCCGTGGTCCTCCCCACCTCCAAGCCTGGGCCGGGGTCCTTGTATTTCAGTGAATACACAGTGGCAGGGGTGTCGTTTGTGTGGTATTTTTGTCATGAGCTGGGGCTCCACTCACCAGGTTCTGCTTTGGGTCTAGCTTTATACATTTATGAAATTATTGGTGCCATTCCATGCTGGCCCAGCCGGTTAGCCAGCTGTGGCCTTGGCCTTTCAGGATGAGCCTCAGTTTTTTTCCTCGTCCTCCAAAGGTGATTCTTCAGGACGGATCCAGCATGCCCACCAATTGGAGCCATCTGACTGCAGAGGCCCATGTCCTTGCTAGGGGGTGAGTCTCTGGGGTTCTGGGAGGAGGAGGACTCTACCCACACAGTAAATAAGGCCCAGTCCTTCTTGGGGAGGCTCAAGAGTCATGGAAACCCCATAGGAGCTAGAATCAGATGAGCACAAGAGCTGCCCAGTGGGGAGCAAATGCCACCAGCATGGGAAAGACAGATACCCTGCAAGGGGCGTGGGGTGGGATAGAGGTGTTAGGGAAAAGCTTACTCAACTGAATGCATGCCAACATATGATGGCTTTTTAAAAAATCAACTTGGGGGCTGGACATGGTGGTGCACACCTTTAATCCCAAGACCCAGGAAGCAGAAGCAGATGGATCTCTGTGAGATCAAGGCCTCACAGAGTGAGGTTACATAGTGAAACCCTGTCTCATGCACTTATGTGCACATACACACAGACACACATGTAATTAAAGTAAAATAAAAATGTAAAGAACAAGAAATTTACTAAGATGTAATTCACAGGAGCTGGGGCAATGTCTTAGTCAAGGGCTCAACTCACAAGCATAAGGACCTGGATTCTATGCCCAGAATCCATGGAAAAAGCCAAGCATGGTGGTGCCGCTTGGAATCCCAGAGCAAAGAAGACAGAGACAGGAGGTTCCCCAGGGTTTGCTGGCCAGCCTAGCCTATTGGGTGAACCCCATGTCCCAGTGAGAGACCTTTTCTTTCTTTTTATTAATTTTTAAAAATTTTTGCAGATTTCATACAATATATTTTGGTAGTATTTATATCCCCTCCCATATCTGCACCCCCTTCTGGCCCCCACCAAATTTCTGTACTCAAATGTATTATATAATGTATATTACATGTATATTATATAATATATATATTTATGTATATTTTTTAGAGACCTACAGAGTCAGGGTTGTGTCCAAATGCCCTTTGGTGTGGGTTCATCCCCTGGAGCCTGGTCAACCTACTAAGAGGAGAGACCCTTTCTTAAAAAGTGAGGTAGACAGCTCCTGAGGAATGACATCCAAGGTCAACCTGTGGCCTCTGCACCCACATACACATACATATACACACAGACATATACACACATGCACACAGATAAACACATACACATATATACATGCATGCACAGATAAACATATACACATACATATATATACACATAAACATATGCATACACAGATTATACATACACACAGACATATACCCCATACACACAAATACACACAGATACACACAGACATACACACATGCACACACATACAGAATGCACACATTCACACATATGCATGCACACATACATACACACAGATGCACACATGCACAGAAACACATACACAGAGATACACACATGCACATGCATGTACACAGATATGTACATACACACATATAACCCACATACATTGCAATTCAATGTCTCATACACTGAGTTGCACGACCACCACAAGTAAGTTTAGAACATTTCTAACCCCCCAGTAAACCCTGAGCGCAATTTTATCATTCCTCATTTCTCTCCAACCTCTCCAGCCCCTGGCAACCACTCATCTACTGTCTGTCCTATAGATCTGCCTGTTCTGCACATACACTGTAGGTGGAACCATACCTGTGCTCTGTTGCCTTTGGCCTCTTTCACTTAACATTGTGTTTTCAGAGTTCATTCGCATTATGGCACAGATCAGTGCTCCATTTCTTTCTATGGCTGTATAATATTCTAGGATATAGATATACCACATTTTTCTTATCCAGTCATCCATTAATAGATATTTGTTTTTGATGTGGTGTTGGTGGTGGTCATGATGTGTGTGAGTGCAGGTGTGTGTGAGGGACAGGTGACAGCCTTGAGTGTCATTCCTTAGGTACCATCCACCAGTTTTTGAGACAGGGTTTCTCATTGGTCTGGCCTTCACCAATTAGGCTAGACTAGCTGGCCAGAGAGCCCAGGGATCTGCCTAACTCCCAGTTCCCAGTTCTGGGATTACAAGTATGTATCACTGGGCCCAGCTTTTTATGTGGGTTCTGGGGATCAAACTTGGGTCCTCATGTTTGCAAGGCAAGCACTTCACCTACTGGTCACTTCCAGCCCAACTTTCTTTTTAAAAAAGCTGGCTGGGCATGGTAGCCACACCTTTAATCCCAGCACGTGGGAGGCAGAGGCAGGTGTATCTACATAGAGAGTTCTAGACCAGCTGGGGCTACAGGGAGACCCTATCTCAAAAAAAAAAAAAAAAAAAAAAAAAGGGAAACAGCTTCTGTAGCAATTTTCCTCTTTAGCTCTAGGGACCTGTTACTCATTTTATAGATAAGGAAACAGACACAGAGAGGTCAGTTGACTTACTCATGGACACACAGCTTGGAGGTGATAGAGCCAGGATTCAATCCTAGGCTGGCTTGTCCTCTCTCTGCCACTGTCTGTATGAGGGTGACTGTGCAGTGAAAGGCCCTTTCAGTGCCCTCAGGTCTAACTAATGTGTGACAGGAGTGGAACACAGGGTGTCCTTGCTATTGGGGCTGCAGTGGCAGGTGGGTGGAAAGGAGCCTGTCCTGTAGGAGCCCCATGGAGTGGGGCTGTGGGGCTCCCACCCCCTCTGTGTGCCTTCTCAGTGACTGTCAGGTGAATTCTCACAGTCATAGGGACACTGCTGCCAAGATCGAAATAGCCGCACGGCGTGCCCTGCATGCCTCCAATGCCAGCCACGTGCTCCTGTGGGGTCTACTGGAAGATAGAATGGCCCTGGAGACCCAGCGGGACCTGGAGGACAGGTGAGGCCTTCCCAGGTGTGTGTAGAAGCTTAGGCTGGACTTCCAGGAGCCCACAGGGCCCAGCCAGAGGCCACTGCTTTCCACTGGCCCCCCGAGTCCTTTGTAGGTTTTCAGAGTGTCTGGAGGCTGCATTCTTCTAGGAGTGGGGCCACAGGTTCTTGGGCCTCTGACAAGGAGAACACACAAGAACTAGATCCCAGAGCAGCTAATCTCTGCCCCTCCCTGGCACCAGCTTCCTTCTTTGCCTCCTAAGACCAGGCAGCTTGGCATCTCTGTTCAGCCCTGAGCTAGATTTATTCAATGTGGGACACTTTGAGAAGATGGACCAAGTACCCCTGGTCTCAGTCCATCTTCGGAGTCCTGATGAGAGGTTAAAGTTTAAGTAGAGGGCCAGAGTTATGCATATCTTACCAAGGGATGGTCCTGCCTGTGGTTGTCTGGGCTCCAGTCTCTCTAGGAATATGGCCCTACAGGTTATCAGCACTGTGTGAAATCTCTTTCCCCTCTGACTGGCCCAGGCTTTAGACCTTCTCTGCTGCCTGCATGAGATTCCTCTGATTCCAATTCCAATTCCCTAGGGTCAACTGTTTCAATAGTCTGATAGCCAAGGTGAGGGGTTACCACATGGCTTCAGGTGGCAAAGGCATGGGGCAGGGGGTGCAGCCAGCAGGCTATTCACGTTGCAACATCATTCAGAGAGTGGACAGGAAGTAGGGCCAGGCTATAAAGCCTCAAAGGTCCACCTTCCCCAGTGACCCACTTCCTCCCGCAAGGCTCTACCTCCTAAAGGCTCCATAGGCTTCTCAAACAGTACCATCAGTTGCCGACCGAGTGTTCAAACATATGGGGGACATTTCACATTCACTTGACAACACGTGCTCAAGGTCATCAGCACAGACCACAGCTGTGGTGTGGTCCACCACCATCAGACACCTTCTACAACTTGGTCTGAAGAATGTGTGATTCTAGAGTGTAAGGCACCCCAGAGCTCGTGCAGGGTGGCCTGATGGAACTGAATGAGTAATGAATGGTTCCTGACACCACTGCCCTTCTCACTCATTTGAAAGCTTCAGGGGCTGGAGGGATGACTCAGAGGTTAAGAGGGCATACTGCTCTGTGTTACATCTGTAACTCCAGTTCCAGGGGATCTGATACCTCTGACCTCTGAAGGTACCTGCACTTACATGTACATGCCCACACCACACGCACACACACACACACACACACACACACACACACACACACACATACACACACACACACACACACAAACGATAAAGGAAATCTGAAAGCTGACACTTTCCCAGGCCAGCTGCTGGGTCCTGACCTTCTTGGGGTGACTGCTGGGAAGTTGGCGAGGGCTTTGCAGTTCAGCAGCTGCAGCCAGTGTCTTTGACAGAGATGAGGAGGCCAATCCTTCCCCAGGGCTCACCCTGTCCTCTTTCATCCCAGGTACCAGGAAGTCCAGGCGGCCCAGACAGCACTAGGCACAGCTGTGGCGGAGGCATTGCCCAAAGCTAAGAGGGCACTGTCCACCGTGAAGCAAGTCATTGGTGGTGCAGCCCCATGTCTGGGCTCACTGGCTGCCCCTGGAACACAGGTCAGTTCAGCACTCCTAGAGCTCTTCACAGAGTGGTCATGGGGGCTCTAGATGATGGAGAAACCAGAGGTCCAGGCAGAGGTGGGTGGGGCTTCTTGTTAACTAGCTAGCAGTGGATTGAAACAACTTCTGTTTACAAGACCAGGCAGGCAGAACTCAGCCATTTGCTGCTACTGATTATGATGGAGACTGGAGTCTTTTTGGCATTCTGTGACATGAGCAAGGACCAGAGGGACAGGGGATGATGTACAGCCAGCTTCCATTCCAACAGTGACCACGGCCAAGGGTTTTTCCTCCCTGAGTTTTGGCCATCAGTGACTCTGTAGCCCATGGACTCATTCACTAGCTTGATTTTAAAGATGGGGACTGGAGGGGATCTCGTGGGTCCATCAGCTGACACTCATCCCTTCTCCACATTTGGTCCAGCCTGTCCACTCAGAGTTTCTGAAACCCTCATATTCAGAAACCAGCTTTAGTAAAGCAATAAGCAGGCCGCAGGTGCAGCCCAATGGGAGAGCGTGTGTCCAGCATGTGCAAGGCCCTGGGTTCTGCCCCCAGCACCAAAGAAATAAAATGTAGTAAGCTTATCCAAATATATTTGGAATATAGCCTGCCCAGGACTACATGCAGATCCTGCCTCCTGGCTTCACCTCTTCCCACAGATTCAATAACCTAGCTGGGCCGCCTTCTGCCCCCAAATGCTGCTAAGGGCATGGAATCATATGCAGTTCTGCCTTTTAGAAGTCTGGAACATTCTGCATTGTGGAGTACATAGGGCAAGGCTCAGATAGAGAAAGAGTCATGGGCCCAAAAGGAGTTGCAGCTTGCAAGGAAAAAATGGCCACTGGTCAGTCCAGTTAGATACAGTTGTCCAGAGCTGCCCAGCTAGAAATTGGATAGATTAGGATCTGAGCCTCCAGTGACATTGTCCCCCAGCCTGGCTTCTCTGCTTCCCTGGTCCACAAGCATCCTCCACCTTCCTCTGTCACCGTCCTGCCCCTGGAGCATCTGAGGTGCCCAGAAGGCAGAAGGCACTCTGGGGCTTCATGAGTATAAGCTTTAGTTCTGGGCTGGCAGTCACAGGCTGACCCTCAGGCCAACAGGTGCCTTCCCCTGAGCAAAAGATCTGGTCTCCAGCCCTACCTGAGTCCACCATCTCCCTACAGTCTCAGAAGTCCCAAGCTGAGGACCTGGACTCAAAAGCGCAGGCCCTGGAACAGAGGGTTGCACAGAGGGAGCGCAAGGCCACCCAGGCTACAGGACCCCTGCAGGCTATGGCCCAGGTGTCACTGCAGAAGACAGAGCCCTTCAAACAGGTCAGAATTTGCCTTTTGAATCTGGCACCTGGAAGAGGGAGGGGCTACCCCAAGGGAACCCTGGGCTGATCTGGGGGGCAGGGGCAAAGACAGAGAGTAACTCTTCCATGTCTCCGGGACCTCCCTCAAACTGTCAGAGAACTTCAGAGGCAGCCAAGCCAAGGGAGGAGAGTCTTGTTCTTAAGAAGAGAGCAAAGGGATGAGAGGGTGGACAGACAGACAGACAGACAGATGCGTGATGGAGGCCATATCCCCGCACCCTCCCTCAGGGTCATCCACAACTGGCTCTTACTCTTCTTTCCCCTTCTGGCCTTAGCTCAGACACCCTATGCTCAGTGACGCCCACTCTGAACAGCCCATGGGAGTCAGTGCTAAACCACACAGCCTGGTGTTCAGCCTTGGAGAGACAGCACTAGATTGGAGGCGGGCCCTCTAGGAGAATGGCAATTTAACGCAAGTCAGGGGTCTCCAGCATAGTAATGTACATGAAATTCCTTTAAAGTAATCGTGTCAGAGCATTTTATTGGGAATAATTCCAGACTTAAGAAAAGGCTCCAATAAAAGCACTCAGAGCTCTCACACCCTTCCCACAAGGCCACCTTAAGTTGTCATTGTACCCACCACAGGGAAAGTACCAAGTGCAAAAGGCCACCATGTGACACCGTTCAGGGACCCAACCTGCAGACCTGGTCCACACCCTACATCCAGGGTGAGGAGGCTAGGAAGTGAGGCACCCTCCCCAGGCCCCTCTGAGGGAAGGGCCTATGAAGGCCAGACCTCCATGGGCAGATGCCCTGCCCCCGAGAGTCCCCCGTCACCCCATCCTCCTTCCCACCCAGCCTCGGAGTAAAATTGAGGCAGGTTTGTGGCTCTTCAAGCCCATTCTGTTTATTTGCAGTGAAACATACAAGTCACCAGTTTTTCATCTGCAAACGTTTTAATGATTAGGGCTGAGCATACATCTTGGGATCTGAGCTGCATTTAAATAAATATTTACGTCTAGAAAGAAAATACAACAGAACATAAACTGTGCTTTTAAGTATCCGTGCGCCTAAGTCCTGTCTCCCCGCCCCACCCTGATACAGCTTTATTTTTGAGCTGTAAAAACACACTTTAGAATGCGATCTTTATAGTGTGGCATTTAGGTAATAAAAATAAACTCCCACCGCAAAGAACAAATTACCCAGTTTAAAGTGTGCAGTCCAGTGGCATTTCGCACATTCACAGTGTTGTATGACCCCTCCCTCTGTCTAGTTCCAGAACATTTTCACTGCTCTGCACAGAAGCCCACAGCACCAGGCAGCAGCTCCCACTCCCCCTGCCCCTGCCCTTCCCACTTTTGTTGGACATTTCTCACAAGCAGGCAGATAACCAGGTGACCTTTTGCACTGGACTTCTTTCCCCTATCACAATGTTTTCAGGGTTCACCTATCAGCATGAGTTAGTATTTTGTTCCTTTTTGATTTATTTATTTTTATTTTATGTGTATGAGTGTTTTGGTAAGTGTGCTCATGCATGCAATGCCTATGGAGGCCAGAAGAGGGTGTCAGATCCCCTGGAACTGGAGTTACAGATGGTTGTTAGCTGCCATGTGGGTGCTGGGAACCGAACCCAGGTCCTCCATGAGAGCAGCTAGTGCCCTTAATTGCTGAGCCATCTCTCCAGTTCCTACTTTGTTCCTTTTTATGACTGGATAATAGTCCATTACATGGACTAATCATGCTTGATTTTTTTAGAACATGTATTTAGTATGTATTCGTATGTGTATGTATATGCATGTGTATGTGCGTGTGTCATGGTATATTTGTGAAAATCAGAGGACAACTTGTAGAGTCACTTCTCTCCTTCTGCCATGTGGGTCCTGAGGCTTGAACTCAGGTTGTCAGGCTTGGCAGCAGGCACCTCTACCCACTGAGCCATCTGGGTGGCCTGAGCCATGCTTTCTTTACAGAGGACAACTTAGAGGAGTCAGTTTTCCCTTTCCACCATGTGAGTCTCAGGGATGGAACTCGGGTCATCAGGCTGGGTAGAAGCACCTTTACCCACTGAACCATCCTACTGACCTGAGTTGGTTTTTTTTAAAATTATATTAGCATATATCAATTATACATAATAGTGGGTTTCATTATGACATCTTCCTACATGTATGTAATGTATTTCCGTTATATTTACCCACTGTTACGCTCCCGTATTCCTTTCCGCCCCTGCTGATCCCTTTTCTTTTCCCAACCAGTTCTTTCTACTTTTGTGTCTTTTTTGGTAGTCCAGTGAGTTTCATCAAGGCCACTTATAGCAGCACAGAGGAGGGTTTGTTTACAGGGGCATGAGCTCTGGAGCAGGGACTACACCACTGAAGAAAATCTCTCCCCTTCCCCCATCAATCATTAACTATAAATCCTTAGGAAGGGTTGGGACCCCTCCCTTCTCTATGACAGGATGCTGACAGGTCCAGTCCTGTGCCGATTATCACAGTCGCTATGAGTTCAAGACTGCAGTGCCACATCATGCCCGGGAGTCACGTTCCACAGGCTTCCCACCCTTCCTCTGACTCTTACATCCTTTCTGTTCCCTTATCGGTCCCCAGTTCTTTGTGTATCTAGTCATGTCTCGTGGTGTGGAGAGCTGTTTAATAAACAAATCAGCCCTTTCCCAGTCACAGACTGACTTCCACGTCGGGAACAGAAGTGTACAGTCATTCCTTCCTCCTTTGGTTCCTGAGTTCTGGTCATCTCCAAGTTTCTGAGAATGGGGTGTTCTTGGGAGAGATTCAGGGCTTGGCATTCATAGAATCAGATCAGTCGATCCCTGTCAGTCTGGAGCCCCCTGACCTGCCTCTAGGCTCCATCGGTCCCTCTTCTTCCTACTACAGCTGCACCGGGAAGCCACAGCTGCCTTGACCCAGGCTTCTTCAGCTGTCCAGGCTGCCACAGTGACCATCGCAGGAGCCAAGACTCTACTAGCTGACCTGGAGGGTATGTGTGTCCTGCTGAGCCCTGTGCTCTGGGATGCACAGGCCCTGACACCCACCCAACTTGCCTCAGCTAGGCATGCCTGGTTACAGGGAACAGCATCCAGTTATGTGGGCTTAAGCCAGATGGACCAGTCCCTCTGCCTCTTAGGACCTCCCATGCTGCATCTCTTTCTGTCTCACATGCTACTCACTGGATACTGACCCCTCTGGACATCCCAGTACCATCAGACGAAGTACAGAGCCCATCAGGATCAGATGGGAAGAGAGTTTGTTGTCATCTACAGGGCAGGGGTGAGGCTCAGTCGTAGAGTACTTGCCTAGCATGCATGAGGCCCTATCTTAGATGTCCACTACCACATAAACTAGGCATGGTAGTACAAGCATATAATCCCAGCACTTGGAAGTTCAAGGTTATCCTCAGCTATATAGTGAGTTTGAGGCCAGCCTGGGCTACATGAGACACAGTCTTAAAAAAAAAAAAAGGCAAAATAAACAACAAAAATTTTACTGGGTGGTGGCTCACACCTGTAACCCCAGTACTAGGGAGGCTGAGGTAGGAAGATTGCCTGAAATTTGAGGCCAGCCTGGGCTACATAGTGAGTTCTAAGCTAACCTGGGCTATAGAATGAGCCCTGTCTCAAAAACCCTAAAATGAAACAAAACTATGTGTTACAGAGTCTTTCTTTAGAAGAGGGGTGGGCTCCGATGCCTCATTAGGTCTCTGGAGCTTTAAGAAAATGAAGCTAGGCATTTTACTGATGGATAGACAGAGAAATAAATCACTTACCCAGCCCTGGCTCAGGTCTGAACATTATATAGTTTCCCACTCAGGGGCCGCTGTGTGACTGGTTTCTGTCATATTCTCTTTGCTCCAGGAGAAGCCTTTTGTGGCTCTTTATCTCAAGGCCCTAAGTCAGGAGCCAGACCTCTGCTCCACTCTATCCAGAGCCTTCCTTCCAGCCCTGCTGGGTGTACCTTAGTGATGTAGCTCCACCCACTGCAGCAATGTATATCACTCAGAGCTTCCTGTTCTCTAGTTTCCCCACACTGGGCCCAGCTTGCCGCCCTGGGTTTGCCATTCTCCACAGTGAATTGCTCACAACCTCCCAGGTGTCGTTCTCTCCTTGTTGATGGTTCTGAGAACAAGACCTTGCCTGTACTAGGTGGAAATCTGGTCCTCTGATCCTGCTCCTTACCTCACACAAAGACTAACCTCCACCCTCAATCCTGTGCTTTCATTCCATTGCCAGCACCGTCCAGAGACACCGTCTTCAGCCCGCATGACTTTAACCATTTAGACACCATAATAGCATACGCTTCTTTGAATTCTCTGAGCCCGATGTCTCGCTTGTCCAAGGGCTCGGGGCTGGTCAAGCATCTGCAGTGGTCACCTAGCAGGGTCTCCTGTGAGCCCATTCCTCCTGACACGGCTTTGGCTGGTTTGCAGGAATGAAACCCAGGTTTCCTCGACTCAAGGAACAGACAGCGCTTCAGAGGAAAGCAGGCATCGTGGGGGACAGGCTCCTGGTGGACATAAAAAGGAAGACCAGACAGGCAGAGAGGATGCTGGGAAATGCAGCATCTCTCTCCTCCAGTGCCAGGAAGAAGAGCAAAGAAACAGAGGTGTTGGCCAAGGACAATGCCAAGGTCAGGTTCAGGACAGCAATCCTGTGACACTGGCCTCCCTGCCCTTGGTGCCATATCCTTATTCATTAACTGCTGTGGGCCCCTGGGTGAGCTCACTGATTCCTCACGAAACAGCATCATTTTTGACCCCTGTGGGACATTCCAGGACCTGAGGCTGAACCAAGTCACATGACCAGGACTCATCTGGCCTTACTGGGCTGTTACCTAAACCTCTGATTTCATTTTATTTGCTTTATTTATTTAGTTAGTTAGGTTTTTGTTTTTTCGTTTTTTTTTGTTTTTTTTTTTTTTTTTTTTTTTTTTGAGACAGGGTCTCCCTATGGCCCCAGCTGGTCTGAAACTCACAGAGCAGGCTGGCCTTGAACTCACAGAGATCCACCTGCCTCTGCCTCCCAAGTGCTGGAACTAAAGGCATGCGCCACCATGCCTGGCTGCCTTTATGTTTTTTAAATAGCTTCATGTATCCCAGGCTGATCTTGAATTCACTATTTAGCTAAGGACGACCTTGAATTTTTGACCTTCCTGGCTCCACTTCCCAAGTGCTGGGATTGAAGGTGTGCACCACCATACCTGGTTTATCCCATGCTGGGGATGAACTCAGGGTTTCATGCATGCTAGGCAAACACTCAGCCAACACCCCCAGCCTCTGGGTTTTTCTTTAATTGGATCCAAATTCTAACTAGTGTGTGGTGCTAACTTGTGGCTCACACCCCAGGTGAACTCTTTTCATGGATGCCTATTATTTCCAAAAGGGCTGGCAGACATGAACTAGGAGCCCCCCAGGCTCACTTTCCCCTCCTGCCACTCAGACTTCTGTCAGCTCCTTCCCTTCCTGTGCTTTTCCCTCCATTTGTAAAGTAGCTCTTTTAAGGAGGAATGAGTAGTTGTAGTAATTTGCACTGGAAATGTATCCTACCTCCATTCTGTGTTTGTTGGATGTGGGAATGAATGAGTGAATGTTCTAGTTTTTGAAGCAGACTTCTTGGCATCATGTCATCATAACTGTGGCCCAAGCCAGACCTGGTGCTGTCAGCCTATGGTGGTTACTCAAGAGGCTGAGGCAGGAGGATGGCAAATTCAAGGCCAGCCTGGACAACTTAGTGAGACTCTGCTAACAACAAAAAGTAAAAGCTGGGCTGGGGCTGCAGCTCAGTTGTAGAGTGCTTGCCTAGCGAGGCTCTGGGTTCCATGCTCAAACAACAAAAACCCCTCTTGTCCAAAGACTTAATCTATTCCCCCTCTTCTCGGCCCCTGCTCTCCTGCAGCTCGCCAAGGCCTTGCTGACGGAGGGGAAGCAGGGGCACCGTCGTGCCAGCAGACTCGCCAGCCAGACACAGGCCACGCTCCGACAGGCCTCTCGGCTGGTGCTCTCCTCAGAAGCCCAAAAACGGGAGCTGGAGGAAGCTGAACAGGTGGGTGTGCCCAGCCCTCATGGCCATTCTTTCTGTGTCCAGCAGCCCCAGGGAGCCACTAAGCTGTCTCTTCCTCCCAAGGTGGCCGCTGGGCTTAGCACTGTAGAGCAACAGATCCAGGAATCACGTGTCTCTCTGGAGAAGGATGTCAGGGCCCTGTCTGAGCTGCTGGCCAAGCTGGGTAAGGAGACCCAGTGAGCCCCTGAGGGTGCAGTCCTGGGACTTGTTCCTCTTTGTCCTTGTCTGCATGGCTCCCACATCCTGTGGCCCATCACAGGCCCTGTATAGGGCAGTGTGGGTGTCTGGAAGTGATTCACTTGAGTCACCTCTGTGCCTCCAGGGGCCTGTAGTCTGGTGTGGGTTGGGGGAAACAGGAAACTCACCACATTCAGGGACACCTCTGGGTACCCCATGCATGAGTTGGTGCTCAGTGGTGGAAAGTTAGGAAGGAGACAGAATGACCGAAAATCAAGGGAAAGGGAAGGAAAAGGAAAAGTAGGCCGGGGGTGGTGGCGCACGCCTTTAGTCCCAGCACTCGGGAGGCATAGGCAGGTGGATCTCTATGAGCTCAAGGCCAGCCTGTTCTCCATTACAAATCCAGGTCACCTGGGGCTACAGGGCAAGAGGACCAGAGTTCAAGTCCTAACACCCATATCAGGCAGTTGATAACTGCCCATAACTCCAATTCCAGAGGATCCAGCACCCCTTCTGGTCTCTGTGGCGATCCATAGACACATACACATAAATAAAATATCAAATAAATCTTTAAAAAGAATAGCTGGGCATAGTGGTGGACACCTCTAATCTTAGCACTCAGGAGACAGAGGGAGACATATCTCTGTGAGACAGAGGCCAGCTTGGTCTACATAGTACGTTCCAGGCCCTCTGGGGCTATAGGGAGACCCTGTCTCAAAAAGTAAAAAAAGGGTGTGGGGGGAGATAAAATTCTGACAGGCTTTAGTAAGGAGGCCTTATGGATAAAGAGCTAGTACTCATTCATACTTGGAGGAGAAAGAGAGAGGGAGAGGGAGAGAGAGAGAGAGAGAGAGAGAGAGAGAGAGAGAGAGAGAGAATGAATGATTTACTTTGCCTTGTGGTTTCAGAGGATATGGTCCATGGTCCCTTGGCCCTGCTGCTTTGAGTCTTTGGCAGCTCAGTTCTTTGGGGTAGGAGCACCTGGTGGAGGAGGCTTTCTTACATGGCAGCCAGAAACAGGAAGGAGCAGAGCTGTTAATATCCCCATCAGGCCATGTCCACAGTGGCCAGCTTCCTTCCATCAGGCCCCACATCACCTTCCACATCATCTCCACATCACCTTCCAGTCATGCTAGGACCAAGCTCTCCACATGTGGCCCTTGTCATTGAACATATTTACATTGTTCTACCTCCATCACCATCATCCATCTCTAGAACTCTCTCATCTTCCCAAAGAGAAACTCTGGCTCATAAAACACTGGCTCCTCATCGCCCTCCTCCAGCCACGGCCTCTTTTCTGTGGCTTTGATTTCTCTAGGTGACTCTAGGTATTTTCCCTTTAACAATTTTTATTTATCTGTATGTGAAGGCACATGAACACATGTGGAGGCCAGAGGTTGACATCACATGTCTACCTCTATCCCTCTTCACCTTATCTATTTTTGTCTTTAATTAATTAATTAATTTTTGAGATAATATCTCACTATGTAGCCCTGGCTGGCCACGAATTCACTATGAAGAGCAGGCTGGCCTCAAACTCACAGAGATCCACCTGCCTCTGCCTCCCAAATACTGGGATTAAAGGTGTGGGTCACCATGCCTGACTCATAATTTTTTACATTTATTTATTGTGTATGTGTGTGTACATGCACCTGATACAGCACACATATGGATGTCAGAGAACAATTTGTATGAGTCGGTCCTCTCCTTCTGCCATGTGGAATCGAACTCAGATCATCAGGCTAGGAGGCAAGCCCCCCTACTTACTGAGTGGCCCTCCACCTTATTTTTTGAGACAAGGTCTCTCACTGAACCTGGAACTCACTGATTTGGCTTGACTGACTGACCAGTAAGCCCTCAAAGACCCTCCTGTTTTCTGTCAACGCATAGTGCTGAGGCTACAGATGCAGGCCATCACACCTGGCTTTTACCTGATTGCTGGTGATCTGAACTCAGGTTCCCATGCTAGCACAGCAAGCACTTTACTGACTGAGCCATGTCCCTAGCTCCTTTTGCCCCCTTTTTGCGGCTCCTTTCACTTTGTATAGTGTCTTTGAGGCTGACCTAGGCTTCACATTGTACTTTGTGTTGTCATTATGAATCACAGGACAGACTACCATGCTCTGTCATGTTTGGACACCTAGCCCACACATGACCTTACAGGACTCTTATACACCTTTTTGTGCAATGACAGTTATTTCCCTGCCCCTTTGAGGAAACTGAGGCAAAAAGGGCTTAGATAAGCCCAGGATCCCACAGCCTATCGGTGGGGCATCATGTGGCTCTGACTGGCCCTACATGCCCATGGTCATCTATACTTAACACCTGACAGGAAACAAATACTTTGCAAGGCTGAGCCACTTCTGCCCTGTTGTCATGGGCATTCACTCATCAAGGCTGTGCCAGCACTATGTGTGACCTAGGATTGTGGGAATGAACACCAGGCCCCTGGGCCTTGCCCCTGGGAATCCCAAGGTGCCTTGGTGTGGCTGTAACCTGATTCAGAGTCTCCTCAAAAGCCATGCTGCTTGGACATTTTTGTGGACAGTGGGGTCTCTTGAGATCTTTGCTAGGGGTGGCTTAGGCCAGCAGGGTCTCAGTATTAGACAGGCTTTGTTTTTATTTTTGTTTCTGATTTTTTGTTGTTGGAGACAAGATGTCCCTGTAGCCCCAGTTGGCCTGGAACTTGGTATGTAGACTAGGGCTGGCCTCAATCTCAGAGATCTGCCTGCCTCTGCCTCCCAAGTGCTGCGTTTAAAGGTATATGCCACCATGCCAAGATAGATAGATTTTGTTGCTGTGACAAATACTGAGAGAAACAATTAGAAACAAGGAAAGACAAGGGACTGAGAACATAGCTCAGTTGGTAGAGTGCTTGCCTAGCATGCACAAAGCCCCAGCACTACATAAACACATATCTATAATCCCAGCACTAGGGAGGTGGAGGCAGAAGGATCAGAAATTCAAGGTCATCCCTGGCTACATATCAAATTTGAGGCTAGTTTGGGATACAGGAGACCCTGTCTCAAAAAAGAAAGAGAAGGAAAGATAAATGTTGGCTTACAATTTCAGAGGCATCAGGGTATGGTTGGCTAGCTGCCTTGTTCCTGAGCCTTGGGTAAGTGGAGCATCATGGTCCAAGGGTGTGGCAGGGCAAAGTTACATACTTCAGGGAGGCTAGGAAGCAGAGAGGCAGAGAAGGGGCCTGGGACAAGATGTAGTCCCTAAAGGCACACCTTCCAAAAGCCAACCTCCTCCAGCTCAGCCCCACATCAGAAAGCAAGGACTCCATCCACCAATGAATCCATTGATGAGGTCTAGCTCCCAGCTAGAGCTTTACCTCCTGAGCTGTTTGGGGGATTCTTCATACCCATATAACAGCCCTTCTCTGGCTCTTCTTGCCTTCTGACCAGAGTTTCTTGCCTGGGAAATTCAGGGCCTTGGAGAAAGGCTAATCCGGTGAGATTGGAAGCCACTTGGGGCTTACTCCCTATCACCCTCCCACCTGATTGAGCTCCATCTTTCTGTTGAATGTCACATTTGATGACAGTGTCAAAGATTGGATGGATGGTAGCGGGCAGTCACACATCGTATTCCAGTGTGAGCACCTGGCCCTGCTCTGACTCTGGGGAAGGTTCAGGGAAGTTCAAGTCAAGGGGAGGAAAGGATTTATGTGGCTGACACTTCCAGGTCACAGTCCATCATTGGGGGAAGTCAGGGCAGGAACTCAAACAGGAGCTTGAAGCAGAAACCATGGAGGAGCATTGCTTATTGGCTTGCTCACAGGGTCAGGCTTAGCTAACTTTCTCCAAGACCACCAGCCCAGGGAATGGTGTTACCTACAGTGGGCTGGGCCCTCCTACATCAATTAACAATCAAAACAATCCCCCACAGACAAGCCCACAGACCAGTCTGATCTAGGAAATTCCTCATAGGAGGCTGCTTCTCTCAGGTGACTCTAAGCTGTGTCAAGTCGGCAGTTAAGGCAAACTAGGACAGAAGTCCTAAACCCCAAGAGGTAGAGTGAATTCACACAGTGGGCAGGATGAGAATCCTGCTCCCTGCCTTCCAAGCCTACAGCCCCTTCCTGCCCCATCTGCCATCCTGGCCATATCTGTCTGAAACTAGACACTCTGTAATCTCCCCTATGAGCCCACTTACCGGCACATAGGTGGTGTCTACAAATGTGTGCTCATGTTTGAACTGGTACACATCCTGTGGTCTCTGTCACACAATTTTGTAGATGAGGGAACAGGGATTTAGGTGGGGACTCACTGAGGCCTTTTAAAAATTTATTTTTATTTATGTGTATATGTGTCTGTGTGTGTATGCCTGCCACATGTGTGTGAATGCTCACAGAGGCCAGAGGAAGGTGTCGGATCCTCTTGGAACTGGAGTTACAGGCAGTTGTGAGCCTCCCAGTGTGGGTGCTGGGAACCAAACTCAGGTCCTTTGGAAGAGCAGCAAGGGCTCTTAACCGCTGGGGCATCTCTCCAGCCTGGAGGTCATTTTTAAAAAATAACAACAGCAGCCGGGCATGGTGGCGTGCGCCTTTAATCCCAGCACTTGAGAGGCAGAAGCAGGCCAATCTCTGAGTTCAAGGCCAGCCTGGTCTACATAGTGAGTTCCAGGACAGCTGGGGTTACAGGGAGACCCTGTCTCAAAGAGACCAAAAAATAAATAAAATAACAATAGCAATAACCATGCATTATAGTGATCATTTGGCCAAAGCCCTCAGGAGGGCATTTCCAAACACTGCATGTGAGTCCCATGGGATGGACACTCAGACCTTTACCCTCTCTTTCATTCCCCTCTCCCCCAGTCCGCTTTCCCAATGGGTTATGGACAGACCAACTCTTAGAGGTCTGATCTGGGTTGGGTTCCCAGGTTCTGCAGGTAGCTGGCTCTTGCTGAGGCTGTCTGTGCCCCTTTACAGGATCCCTGGACACCCACCGAGTCCCTGCCCAGATCTTAAATGAGACCCAGCAGGCACTAGAAGGCTTGAGACTGCAGCTGGGCTCACGGGGGGTTCTGCAGCGCAAACTGAGGCAGCTGGAGCAGGAGTCCACCCAGCAGGAGCTGCAGATACAGAACTTTGAGAGCGACCTCGTCGAGATCCGTGCGGACAAGCAGAACTTGGAGGCCATTCTGCGAAGCCTCCCTGAGCACTGTGCCAGCTAGACCTCAGCACAAGCCCCCCACCTGCTGTTTCCTGCCCAACCCAAACAGAAGTCCCAGATCTGGCTACTGAATGCTCACGCTCCCTTGCCAGTGTGTCCACACATACTTTCCCCCCATGGCAGGAGTGAGTACACACTCTCAGCTCCACAGGTGGCCCTATGTGAAGCTCTCAGTGTGTGCTCCCTACACATGCATCAGCACACACCCCCCAGCATCAGAAATATACATGGCCACACTTGTACATCTGTGGGCACAAGTATGTGGGCACATGTATGTGTGGGCACATGTATGCATGGGCACATGTATACGCAATGTACATGTGTGTTCAGGCCCATCTGTGCATGCACACACAGGGTAGTCTCCAGCTGTAAAGAGGCAGCCATGGGCTTGAGCACCCTCTGCATGTTGGCTGAGTCCTGTTATAAAAAATTCCCTGTAGTGTTAACATTACTACAACCCTCACTCTGGCCGAAGCGGAGCTGGTACAGGAGAAGCTGAGCAGTCATCTACAGACATCTGGAGTAGTCACAGAGCTGTTCCTGACCCTGCTCTATCTCCCCCCTCGCACTGGTCACCCAGCTTCTCTAAGAACTGAAGGATCAGGCTGACCAAGAACTGAGGATTCTCAGAAGTGGCATCTGAGGCCACGGTGTGGCCCACTAGGCCCACAGGATGAGGCACAGATGTCATTGTCTTTTGTAGACACTTCCGTCTCAGGATCTGGATGGTCTGCAGCAATCTCTTCGAGGGAAGTGCCAGCCCCCTTTCATCCCTGGATCTACCTGAAGAACCAGGCCCTTCCGTGTCTGGATCATGAGGCCTCAAACAGGTCACTGGGAACATCCCTTTGTGCCCCTGCTGACCCGATTCTTTGATTGACACTTTCTGAACCGGCCCTGTGGCCCCACCTTTCACAAGGGATGCCACAGGGGTGTGGAAGCCTGGCTGTCATTCCAGGCCTCCTGCCTGGGGAATCCCCTGTGGCCAAGCTCATGGTGGCTTCTGCCCAGGACTCCCTGGCCTTTCCTCCTGGTGTTTCTCCTCTCTCTATCTGAGCCCTCTTCCAGCACAGCAGGGCCTTGCCACCAGGATGACAGCCATCTTTGCAGCCCTGTTCCTTCCCTGAGTCCCAGGGGAATGGTGGCAAGTGAACTGATTCTGAGTATGAGAAAATAAAGGGCCCTTTTCTGAGCTAAGTGTTGTGTCTTTGATCCTCTGTTGCTGGTGGGCACCCAGGGCCTGCTGTGGAGGCACGTGGGGCACCTCTTGTAGATAGCCCAGCAAGTAGACAGACCAGATGTCTGTGAACCCACACAAAGGAAGGAAAGTGGCAAAGCTGGGCTCATGCAATGTCGGGGTCTTCCATGGTGGGCTTTGCAGGGGCCCTGTGATCACAGACACCGTGTTTCTCTCAGATCTGTTGAACTTGTTGGGCAAAGGCAAAAGGTCAAGGAAGTTTGAGATGTGGGGTGCAGAAAAGCGCTCAGCTGACTTCTGGCTCAGGGTGGAGACACCAAGGTAGGAAACAGCCTTAAACAGTACAGTAGCTCCACAAGGGGAGGAAGGGACACAACGGGGAGGAGGGTTTGGGCCTGGGTTGGAAGGGTGAAAAAAAGAGAGAAGGGAATGTTTCAGACAAGAGGGTGGCTGGCAGCCAATGTTACAGGGTGGAGGGCTGGTCAGCAGAGGTCATTGAAAACCCAGGTTGAAGGGCAAAATCATACACTCAAGGCTTTTGGCCACAAGGCCAAAAGGATTCTGGGATTAGCATCAGAAAAAAAGAGGTCATTGGACGGGTCTCCCGGAACCTGGGCTGGGAAAGGCTACCAGAGTTTGGGAAAGCCTGGGGCCTGGAGCGAGCCCGAGGCTGCTGTGATGAACCACTTCTGTCTTTGCCTTGGTCCCCACTCTGTGCTCTCACACTGCTTAAGTCTTTTCCTTTTTGCATTACAGCTTTTATCGTCTATTTATTTATTATTATTATTTTTAAATATTTTATTTATTTTTATTTTATGTGTATGCGTGTATTGCCTACATGTAGGTAAGTGCACCCGTGTCATGCAATGCTCGTGGAGGTCGGAAGAGGCTGTCAGAGCCCTGGGACTGGAGTTACGGACAGTTGCTAGCTGCCATGTGGGTGCTTGGATTTGAACCTGAGTCTTCTGTAAGAACAACCAGTGTTCTTAACTACTGAGCCATCTCTCTAGCCCCTTATTATTTTTATTTTATGTGTATGAGTATATTGCCTGCATGTGTGTAAGTGCACTCATATTGTGCAACGCCTGTAGAGGTCAGAAGGCATTGGATGCCCTGGAACTTGTGTTATGGATGGTTGTTAGCCACCATATGGGTGCTGGGAATCAAACCCAGGTCCTCTGCGACAGCAGCCAGTGCTCTTAACCACTGAGCCATCTCTCCAGCCCCAAGGATGTTTTTAATTATTTTGTTTATGTCTTTTTGAGACAGAGTTTCTCCCTGTAACCCCAATTGGCCTGGAACTTACTATGTAGAGCAGGCTTACCTCCATCTCACAGAGATTTGCCTGCCTCTGCTTCCTGAAGGCTGGGATTAGAGGCATTCACCACTGCGCCTGACTTACTTATTTTTATTATGTATATGAGTGTTTTGCCTACATGTATGTAAGTGCACCTTTGTTGTGTAATGCCTGCTGAGGAGAGAAGAGGCTGTCAGATTCCCTGGAACTAGAGTTACAGGCAGTTGTTAGCTGCCACGTGGGTGCTAGAACCAAACCCAGGTCCTCTCTAAGAGAAACCAGTGCTCTTAATCACTGAGCCATCTGTCCAGCCCCATAACAAGGATCTTTGGTCTAAGGCTTTGTGATGAGAAATGGTCTGTGCCTCCCTCTTCCAGTAGTAGGGGACAGTGTTCAGAAGAGAGATGTGCTCCTCCGCAAAGAGCCTTGAAATCAAGGCAAATGTAAACTTGATGCGGTGGGTGCTTAAGGCGAGTGGGACTGACTTGGTGGGTTTCTAGGATGGGTGTAGAAAGGCTGGAGTCAGGGAATTTGGTGATTGGGATATGGTATGTGTGGTGCCAAGGAAATAGGGTTCTAAAAAAGAACTCTGGGACAGGATCTGATGTTCCACTGTCCTCAACCCAGTTTCCCCAGTGACAGATGTTCAACCTCTACCCACTCTAGCCATGGTGCTCAGAAAAACCCAGTCTCCGCATCCCTGGTGGGTGGAGAGCAGGCTTCTTCTCCATTCCTGGATGACAAAACTCAGGCCTGCCATGTGACTCAGACCGTGTGGTCATTCCTGGTGTGTGCAGAGCCACTCACAGGCCCAGAGGTGGGGCTGCTTGTGGCTGGGTGGAATGCAACAGCTGCTGAACATCTGGCTAGCAATGCAGCCAGCAGCTGAACAGTGGAACTTGGGGTGGCCCCTGCCCTGTCCAATGACTGGCTAGAGCCAGCCAGCCCAACTGGCTAGAGCAATTGGCTGCCTGAGACTTGACCAATTAGGAGCTGCATTGAGTGGGGTGTTCTGAGTCCATTACCTGCCTGGACTTTTGGATAGAACACTGCCCCCCCATCCAGGATTTGAATTCCCAAACCCTTCTCAGCCTCAGCTTTTTTCTCTGCTTAAACCGTGCAGAAAGCAGTCAAAGTTAAAGCATTACTGCTCTTGTTTCCTGTATTCTGAAGTTTAGGGGGCTTGGGCCAAGTGCCCAAATTCAAACTTTAGTAGTGAATGAATGGGCAGAGGGGAATAACCCAGGAGCTTGGTTAGAATGTGCTGAAGATCTGCAGTGTGTGTGGTTGTTCCTAGTGGACTGGTGGGCAGGTCTATGCCTGGGCCCCAACTTAATGATTAGGAAGACCCCTTTCACCCCAAAACTGTTGCGATTGGACACTAAGTTCATGATAGCCGGGGCTACAAGGTCCCATCCAGTTCTGGAATCCAGAGCCCCGATCTTGAAGTCAAGGGGCTGCTTTATCATCCTGGTGGACTTGTACCCCAGGCCTCAGTTTCTAGACTTTTTTTTTTTTTTTTTTTTGGTCAAATGAGCATGCCAGACCTATTTCACAGTTTGGGGCATAAGATGGCACATGCAGTGGTAAATGCCGGGTGCACAGTGAGCGTCCAAGAAACGGGCTTTTATCAACAACATCCATCTAATTGATTTAGTGGGTGTCACAGTGGCACAGTAAGGTGACAGCCTACGTTAGCACTTCGATCCTCACAACTGATTCTGGTGGCCTCGCCGAGGTTCTGGCAGGGAGAGAGGGTGGTCCTGCAGTGCATTTTGAGCGTCCTCCAGCAGAAGGGCCAGGGCGGGCTCCGGCGGGCCGGCAAAATAGCCGCTTTGATGCCCGCGGCGGGCGGGGAGGGGTGCGGGGAGGGCGGGCCGCCGCCAGGGCGGGGTGTGTCCGGCCCCGCGCGGTCCCTCCGCCCCTAGGTCCCGCCGCCACACGCCGCCTAAACTCTGGACCCGGCTTCGTCCCTCCCCCTCGTCCTGAGCCTGCGGGAGCCGGGTGCACACCATGTCGGTCGCGATCAGCAACAGGTTCCAAGGTAGGCGCCTGCGCCTTGGCTGCCCCGCGCGGGGCGTCCCTGGGTGGCCACCTGTGCGCACTGGCATGCGCGGGAACCCGGAGGGGGCGCGTGGCCCGGAGGTCCCCTCGCTTCCCCGCCGCCTTTGTCTCCTGCAGGAGGGAAGGCGTTCGGATTGCTCAAAGCTCGGCAAGAGAAGAGACTGGCCGAGATCAACCGGGTAAGCCGCGCGCCCCCGCCGTCCCCAGCGCCCCGCGGCGCCACTCGATCTTCCCGGATGAAATCGGCCCCTTTCCCCTCCACCCGCCCCACCCCCGCTCCCCCAATTGCATCCCTGATCCCTGCCTTGTGGCGTCCAGGTAAGTTCACTCCACCTCTGCTCGCGGCCTGGCGTCTCGGGTTGCAAGTTGTAACTCTCCGACCAGGGGAGGTGGGGCCGGATCTGGAGCCTGGTGCCAGCGGGCTGGGTCTCCCCAAGAGCCCGCCGGGGACCAGCGCAGAGTTTTGGCGCCAGAAGGGACCCCCCTGGACTAGCGTGGTTTCCTTGGAGCACAGAACTTAGCTAGGGGGTTGGATGGCAAGTGCTGGCAGTTCCCTTAGCCTCCGGGCCCCCCACTTCCAACCCCAACACAGAGCTCTTTCTCACCAGCATTTAGCAAAGTTGCCTGAGGGACTGGATGCTTTTCTTGTGGGTCCTGGGTAAGTTCTAGAAAGACATCCTTCCGCTGCTGCCAGGCGCACAAAGGCAGCCCCGTTAAGTTTGCTTACAGAGCGTGTAGATCCCTGGAGATAAGGGAAGGTGTCGGTGCCAGGGCCGCCTGGATTGGCAAAGTACTGAAACGGCACAGCCCGTGCCTTTCGGGTTCCCAAGACCTGGACACAGAACTCACCTCTGTCATGTACCAGCTCCCCGGTCTTCAGCAAGGGCCTTTTCCCTCTTGCAGGGTCACTGTGTGGAATCAGTGAGGCAAGTACCCAGTGTGATCTAGTGTCCAGCACTAAGGAGACACCCTGTGGTAGTGGGGGGGAGCATTAGAGTTTTTTCTTTGCTTCCCTGTTCAGGGAATTGAACCCAGGTTTTCTCCATGCTGGGCAAGCACTCTACCACTAAGCTATCAATACATCCCCAGCCCTGGAGTTATTTCTTGAGGAGACTCCTTTCAATTGGTGGCAGAGGTCTGTCCCCCCCCACCCCCCTAAATAAGGCTGGGCACTCCCTCTTATTTGCTTCTTTGGGCCCTGGATACCCAGAGACTGAACCCAGATCAATGTCCCTGGTGGAAGGCTGGTAGGGTCATCAAGGCCCAGTGGAGGCCTTCTGAGGTGGATCAGGGGCTTGGGGTCATGATGGAGTATTTCCTCCCAATCTTCATTCCTTTATCTCCACGGACTGCCTTTAGGAGGTAGCCTGTTTCTTTCTATCCACCAGCCACAGGGGTCCCCTGGAGGGCTTTGGCCCTCCTCACTGCTACCCTCTCCTAGCCTCTTGGTGCTGTCTTTAAAGCATGCCTGCAGGGTCCCCCTCCCTGTACATCTGGCTGGCCTCAGGGTCCAGGCATGCTGGGCTTCTGAAACTCCCTCTGCACCACCCCAGCCTCGGGCTTGGCTGCTCCAGCCTTCTGGACAGAAGCCTGGGACCCTGACCTCATACAGCCCCCTGGGCCACTTGGCTGGGCAGTTTCTGGGCTGGCTGACTCTAGCCACAGCCAACAGGACCCTAAGCCAGAGACAGCTGGAGATGGGAGTTTGGTGACTGGAGTTGGAGAGGCCAAAATAGCTGAGACCTGGGGACTTTCCATGATAATCCTACCCTTGGAGATGCAGATGAAGGCCTTGGGGAGAAGGTATCCGAATGGTAGGGAGGTGGTTCAGAAGGGGGAGTGGCTGTGGCTATCAGGTATATTTTGACAGTATTGGCCCTGAGTAAAGAGGGCAAAAGGGGGCTGTGATCTAACCACTTCAGGACTGTAGTACCCAGAGAAGACAAGCAGGTAGGCCAAGACTACACAGAGCCATTGCCACAGCTTGCAGCCTGCTGTCCCTTCACTGCCCAACACCGGTTTGAGATCTGCTACATGAGCCCAGGCTGCTATAGAGTTGTAGTGTATAGCTCAGAGTGCCAGCTCCTGGAGGATTACACCATACAGTCGAGCTATTCCCCACCACAGCGGGTCAAGGTGGCCACAGTGTGGTTAGAGCCAGGAGGCAGGCCACCAAGCACTAGCTCTGTGATGTTTGGCAAGCTGCTTCCTTGAGCTTCCTTTGCCAACAAGAGATAATGCCAGTTGTGATTTTTTTTCAGCCGCATAGTGTATGTGAAGTACACAGAGCAGCTAAGTGCCATCAAAAGCATCGTCATTTGTGGGGGGCCTCCAGGTGTAGGGAGTGGACGCTGGAGCTAGCCTGACCTATGCCAAGGTCATACCGGCTGCTTCTGATACCCTGTCCTGAAGTGGGGGCAGCAGGTCCTCCCCTCTCAAGCCCCTAATGAACAGACTCGGAGCCATAGGAGACTTTGCTTGAGGGTCCCAGTCTGGTTGACCCATGGCCATGGCTGCACTGATGTGTCCCTTGGGGTAAAATATTGTAGAGAGCCTGCCTTCCATTAGAGTACAGCGTCCCTGCCCCGCTGATTGTGGATTCTGGGGTGTGAGCTGAGCTCTGCTGTGCTGAGCAGTGCTCAGTAGCTGCATGTGGTCCAAAAAGCCATGAACCATACAAAATAGGGCTTCATGACTCGATGCATGGGTGTTGTGCCCGAGAGCATGGTATAGCCTGGTTCGCTGCCTGGGGCTTTTCCCTCCTCTGGGGTGGGTCTTTACAGAGGGCACAAGGTGACTCGGTTAAGCCATTATTATCAGGGATTCAAGAGTCAAAGCAGAGAAATACTCTGGTGAGCCTAAAGGACTGTGAGGGAGAAGGGAGGCAAGGGAGCTGTACAAAGCATAGTTTTGTGTGTAGAGGGGTTACTTTAGTCTTTTCATTTTTTAAAATTATTTTTATTTTTATGTGTATGAGTGTTTTCCTGCATGTATATAAGTGCATCATGTGTGTGCAATGCCCTGAAGAGGCCAGAAGAGGGTGCCAGATTCCCTAGAACTGTTCTTAGCCGCCACATGGGTTCTGGGACTTGAACCTGGGTCCTCTGGAAGAACAGCAAATGTTCTTAATCACTGAACCATCTCTCCTGCCCGCTAGTCTTTTAATTTTTTTTTTTTTTTTTGGTCTTTTTGAGACAGGGTCTCCCTGTAGCCCCAATTGTCCTGGAACTCACTATGTGGACCAGGCTGGCCTTGAACTCACAGAGATCTGCCTGCCTCTGCCTCCCGAGTGCTGGGATTAAAGGTGTGCACCACCTCCCAAGTGCTGGGATTAAAGGCGTGCAAGATGCCTGGCAGTCTTAATTTTTAAAATTGCTTTTACTTATTTGTGTGTATGTATGTGTGTGGAAACACGCATCCCACAGGGAGCGTGTGAAGGTCAGAGGACAACCTGCAGGAGTTGGTTCTTTCCTTCTACCTCGTGGGAGGGTCCCAGGAGTCAAACTCAGGCTATCAGACTCGGTGAGAAGCACTTTTACCCACTGAGCTATCTCACCGGTCACACTTTAGTTGCTACTGTTTTCTTTGGAGTATGCTGGCACTTTTCCAGGCACATTGATTGTTCGCTCTAATGCTGTGTGGTCTAGGTACAGTCATTCCCATTTTACAGAAATCCTGGCTCAGAGAAGTCGAGTCAATTGCCTGAGTTTAAACAGCCAAACTTAGCCAGGCAAGGTGGTGCATTCCTGTAATCAGAGCAACCCAGCAGGCTGAAACAGGAGTGTCATGAGTCCCAGGCCAGCCTGGGCTACCTGTGAGACCCTCCCCACCTCCCCGCCCCCCGCCAACCATCTCAAACAAAACAAAACAGAACCCTGCCACAATGGAACCCAAACTATTCATTCCTTCAATTCTATGCTTTAGTGGCTCCTTTCTGTGTATGCCTACCCCCTCCCACACCGTGTGTGTGTGTGTGTGTGTGTGTGTGTGTGTGTACATGTCAGCATTACTGGAGCGAGCTGGACTGGCGAGCACCTCCTACTCCCCCCACATAGCTGGCATTCCCCACGCCCTGATGGCATGGTAGGTGACCCCGGGTCAGCCAGGCCCAGCCTTATTTGGCAATGGGAGAAATTTTCTCCAGCTTCCCATAGGGATCTAGAGAAGCCGCAGGGCTGGGCTGGCTGCCCCTTGGAGTGCCTGTGCCCCTGGGTTGATCTGGAGGAAACTTGGAGGATGGGGAGGGCTTCAGCTTGAACCTATGGTCAGTTAGGATCTTGGAATGCAATCACATGAGTGTGGTGATGCTCAGTGCCTGGTGCTCACCCTCCATCAGCTGAAAGACCCGCTCAGTGAAGTGCTCTATCACATGTCTGTGGGGTGCACAGACAGAATCTCAAAACATCCCTGTGGGACAAGGATATGACATTGTAGAGATGAGTAGGCTCAGACTGGTGAAGTCACCTGCCCAGGGCCACTCAGCCAAGGAAGGAGCAAAGGCAGCATTCAAACCAGGTCTCTCTGACTCCAGACACCACCCATAGCCTGCTCTGGCCCCTGGCCACCAGGTGGCTACAGGCTTGTGGTGACCCAGGCGTCTCTTGCTTATGTGGGATAAGGATCTCTGGCTACCTTCCTCCCCGAGCCTCAGCCCTCCTGGGTTGAATGAAGGACATTCTGAACTCTCTGTGCTGTTTAGGTGCCTAATGGTTATTTCAGTGCCCACCTGCCATTTGTACTGGGAAGGGAGCTGGTGGGAAAGGCTGGGGGCAGGGAGTGTCTCTGCCTATAGTGTGTAAGCCTTCTGCCCTTCCCTCCCCTAGCCACAGAAAACCTCTGTGACCTGACCCAGAAGGCTATGCAGGTGTGTCTTTTCCTGTGTCCCTGGAAGTACCACTTTGCCCTTGTCTGTTGGCACTGAGGGCTCTCGTCTCTCTTGCTCTTCCCTTAATATATTATAAAAGAGACGGTGATAAGGAGCCTCTGGGGATTCAATGTCCCCTGAAGGTCTGGCCAGTTATGACCTTGCTGTGACCATGTCACAGGCAGCCAGAGATGGAATTTCTGGCAGTTTGCTTCATGTGTGTGGTCACTGGGGTATTTTTCTTCAGCTGCCCCATCAATTGGTGAGGACACTATGTCCAGATAAGGCCACAGAGCTGCCCTGGGGAATGTGAGC